GTAAACATGTATATATAGGCCCCAAAAACCCTAGAGAATCAGATTAGGCAGTGGGGAAATGCACAGCAAGGAGGGTGAATTTGTGGTGTGCAATGGTCCAAGGATGAAAATGGAGCAATGATGCAAAGTATGGAGGGTAAAATGGAGTGGTATTTCAGCTAGGGAGCATGAATGATTGTGTTCATTGCATGGAAATGAAAAGGGGAGGTGAAATGTTTCAGAAATTAGTTAAAGGTGCAGCAACATGTGTTGCACAAGGCATTGGATCCCAAATGTGGATGATGGAGCATCAATTGGTGCATGGAATGGTTGTGAAATCTGATGGGTGAAGGGAACAAGAGGTATGTAGCAATTGAGTGTGATAATTGAGTGTATTGCGGCATGAAATCAGAAATATTTTAGGGGACAAGGATGATTAAGCATGCATGGGAATCCAAAGGGAATGCTATGTGGATTGCACGGCAAGGATGTGTGTCCTTTTGTGGCTGAGTTCATGATCCTTTGTACACTAATTCTTCACATTCTTAGCCTCTTTAAGTCTTCAATTTCGTCCAAACCTTGGTTCCAAATATGTGACATGCATTCCAAGCTCCATTTTGCTCCAAAATGCTCCAAAATGCATCTTCTTGCCTACTTTGTCCTTAAAATCTGAAAACACACGAAAATGACTTTAAACATTAAAATAACTAAGGAAACACGACATAAATGCACAAGAACAAGCCAACTAAGTCGCATAAATATGCTCCTATCAACCAATTCCTCAGACAAGCTTTTGGAAGGTTGGCAAGGTTATCTAGGATTTGCTTGCATGAATTCAATCTCTTGATACTTTGTTAATGTAGATGTAGACTCAATATGTCTTGGCGTTGACTTCGTTGATGTATCATATCTTGGTCGAGTGGATACATGTGGCATAGTCTTTATGGATCGTTGTTGGGACTCAACAATGGATGAAAATAGCAAGTACTTCGAATATACTTAACAAGAACTCCCAATCATGTCTCACGTGTGGCGTAGTGAAGTAAGGTGAGTCATGGAACGATTCAAAGATTTCGTAACTAAGGTCATATCGTGGACCTCCAACATATTGTGATATCCCTAACGGTAAAGACATAACCATTTAGGGATTTTCCTTGTGCGGGTTTGATAAGTAACTAGTGTCAGCATACCAACAAGGCAAGCATTATTCCAAGGATCAAGATGTCGGATCCGCTTGAGATGCGTTAGGATTAGCATAAATCTGTAATACCATTCAGGGTAGCAGAAAAACATCTTTAATACCAATTCAGTGGTTGCGTGTAGGCGCAATGTTATATCTTTACCAATAAATCAACAGCGAAAGAGATGTCATTTCTAATTGCAATGAGCTAAGTACAACAAAGCATAAAGTTGAACTCAGATATGGAACTTCGGATTCCATAACCTTTTCAAGGGTCTCATTTGCATATAGCGTATGGAGGATCATAAGTATACTTAGAGGTAACACCTTCAGGGTATAGTTCGACTGTAGACCAGGTACCGTCAGAACAACGCTTGAACTTCAAGTCAAAATGAGTTTTTCCAAGATCCATCATCTCAAATTCCATCTTCAAGTGTGAGACAGTTTTCTCAAGCTCTTCTAGAGTCTTAGTAAGATTCATGTCATCGACATAAACTGCAACTCTAGCAATTCGAAATATGAGTTCATGGTTTAACACACAAGGGCATAATTCATATCCCTAACTAATCAAATAATCACTTAGACAAGTATAGCACATCTGTCGGATTGCTTCAATCTGTAAGTGAATGCCTCAAACGAGTTGAAAGGGTGTTCCATGGTTTTGGAACTATTTGAACCAGTCTATGTAATTCTTCGGGAACTTACATATAATCTCCGTATCTATATCCCCATGGAGAAACATTAAACACATTCATAATGCTGCAGTCAATCACAGGGTGTTTGAGAGAAACCTTGCGCCGTAAGACGTGTATTATATCACACTATTTCATTCGTCTTATTACGCTTCCTTTCCCACTTGTAACACAGCAGGGTTACCTTGGGTAATGTAGGAACTACGGGTCCAAACACACTTTGGTAAGGAATTTAAACTTGGATTGTAATTTCGGTCATCCAATCAGTTCTACGTTGTCACTAATAAACGGAACATGGTTTGATATCGTCGGTTTTCATTTACGTTGGTAGCTACCATATAAGTAGAAACATCATCGATGATAATCTCATTCCAATTCCATTATTCCAATTCCATTATCGCATCCAAACTAGTATACTGGACTAAAAACTTCAAGTCTCGGTAGTAATCCAGATTAATCTCATGAGATGGAAATGATTTGAGACAACGATCAAGTGTGAATTCATGTTTGTGCCGTGATCTTCGTCTTCTAGGGAAGTGAATCATATGAACCGAGTGATCTATTGTGCTTTAGGCCGAGACAGATTGATTGGCTCCGCAGGGTACCAGACCGTCCAACAGGAGTAACACCCCATTCGGGGATGTTGACTTGACGTTGGTTAGGTACGTCTATCCTTGAAGGCATGTTTAGCAGCTGTTATATGATCTTGTCACTTTAGCTAGATCAGAGGAATGTGTCTGGAGCAACATTATGAAAGTTAGAATACATCGCACTTACTTATCACACTTGTACGGTATGGGATCGAGAGAGATATAGTGGGCAACATCCATGCAATTCCAGTCATTCTACAGAAACGTTGACGTTCTTATCTCCTCATAATGGCGGGAAGACTATCTCATTGAAGTGACAATCCACAAATGAGTGGCAAAGAGATCGCATGCAAGGGCTATAAGAGAGCTATTATGAAGGAGAATCATAATCGACAAAGATTTACAACCTTCTATGATGACCCATATTTGTACATTACGGCAGTGCAACTTGGCACATGGAATGCACACCGAAAACATGTAAGTACGACACGTCAGGTTCGTATCCAGTAACCAACTGTAATGTCAAATAGGTTGGGTGGCAATGGGCCTAAAGGCGGACCAACATAGTTGCGTACAAGATTGCATAGCCATAGGCAGAAACCGAAAGCTTGTTGCGTTCACCAAGGTCCGGGCGATCATTTAAATTGCGCTTTTTGATCACTATGTGAGGCTGTTTTTGTCCTTTTCTCCCATTCAAGTAGAAGTAACATTTATCTCTAGAAATGTGAAATGTGATGTAAATGTAGTATTTACATCCCAATATTGCATCTCTCCAGTGAAGATGATTCAAATTTAAACTTTGACCAGTTTGGTATATTATAAACCCTAAACCCTAAACCCTAAACCCCTAAACCCCTAAAATCCCTAAACTCCTAAACCCCAAACACCAAACCCTAAACCCTTTCCTGCATGCAGAAACTAAAATGTTTAAAGCGGATGATATCTAATTAGTTTGTAAACATTCAAAAGAGAACCCAGTTATGAAGACCAATTCACATATTTTGCCTCCCACCAATTAACATTCACAATATCAAAGAACTCCGTACATGGTGCTACTAGGAAAGATCAGTTACATGCACTGACATCGGCACCATAATTATGCTTGTGTGAATATTATATTCCTGTATTTCGATACTGTCAAAAATTTATATTGGAAAGCAAATACTTCCACCAAAAATCCATATTCGAAAGCAAATATGGTGAATGAACACTCCTTTTAACATGCTACTTCCAATGATTTGCATGCCCACAACAACAATAACATGAGACTACATTTAGTTAGTGGGTGTCTATTCCAATCTTGACCAATACTTTCAGTAAATAAAAATATTAAGGTTACCTAATCAACATAAATGCTGCTAATGATTCAGTAAAATAAGGATGCATGGTAATCCCTATCAATTCCTTACTTTACGTTGCATGGTAATCCCTACCATGAACATGAACCGGACGTCAGTCTCCTGGTAATTAATGTTTTCTACCGGACTTTCGGTAAGGTTCTAGAGGAACTGTGGGATTGGAGGAACACCGATGTCCGAAACTCCCTCGAGAATTTGAACCACCTGCCTCATTGTTGGCCTATCCTTATCATCTTCTTGAATGCACCAACAAGCCACTTTGCATGCTCTACTTAGTTCATCTTCGTCAGCTTGGCCTTCCAACCTGCAATCCAACAAGGTGAAAACATCTTCCCCTTTATTAACTACATCGAACCATCCCAAATCTTATCTCCAGATATAATTTCACAAATGAAGCAGAAGCAGAAGCAGTTCGCACAAGAGGTTGAAGACAGCGAAGAGGAAGACGAAGGTCAGACAAGATTAGCAAACGACGCAGCTTAAACGATTCAGGTGTGTAAACGACGCAACTCAGACGGGATTAGCAATCCCATATCTTTCGAGGGTCTTGCTAAGCTAACCTAGCAAAGGCCTTACTCGGAGTGAGTCCGACTTAATCTCATTTAAGTTAGTTCGTGTTCTCACCAAACACAGACTAGTAGTCTTACCTAAGGTAGATCAGTCTAATGAGACTTAACGAGAGCAAACAAACACGTTCTTAGAGGACATTGTCATACATACACCCACTCACACAACTAAGTTAGACTGCCTTTGTATTGGGGACAACACTAGCCCAACTTCACCAATCCCAATACATTCCTTAGTTGTGTGTGGAACTACGATTAGCGTTACTCTCTAGATAGACACAAGAATTTCTCTAAGGATGCGTTTGTTGCACCAACTATCTCAGATTTGACTAGTTATAAGGACTAAGTTTGACTGATTTAGATTAGACTAAGCTGGACTAATATTTCAACTAGTAAAAAACTTAGTTCAACAATTTTTTTTTGTAATAATTACAACTATTTAAAGCTTTATTTTAATAAGAAAATAACATTTGACTATTCAGTTAGAGGAATATGAAATGACATAAGACTTTAAATCACCACATCAGCCATTACTTTTAATTTGACCATTAACTCATCTATAGTTAAACACGCACAATTAAACCGACCTGAAATAGAATTGAAAGAGACTGAACAAACAATAAGTTGTAATTAGACTGGAATTAATGCTCTCGTAATTTGCAAATTTTGCATTTGATTTTCCCCCTCCCTCCAATTCCATCTTCTTCCCGCTCAGTTGGCTCCACGCAGGGCCCTCCAAAACCATGACACAAATAAATCTCAAATCCGAAACCCTAGATTAGAGACCAGAGATATGGCCAATGCAGATTCCCACAATTTTACCAAAACAATCTGCTCAATCTGCTACGAAGACCTCAAGCCCACTTCTGAGGATCTCCAATCCATCTCCATCTGCGGCCATGTCTTCCACGAGCTCTGGTCTATCTCTCTCTATCTCTCTCCCTCTCTCCTCTCTTTTCTTTCTCGCTCTCTCTACATGTATATATGTATTCAATTTGTGTATGTTTGTTTAATCTCAATGTATGCATTTGTTCGGAAATTGATGTTTAATACGGCGACGTCTTGGGTGTGAAACCCTAGTCTGCAACAGTGGTTCGAGTACTCTGCGAGGACGAAGAAGTACACTTGCCCGGTGTGCAAACAAAATTGCAAGCAAAAGGATGCCGGCCGGCTTTATTTTCAGTCGGTGGGGGACGCGGCGGATGCGACTCAGAGGCCGATTAGCAAATGCGAGGAAGATCCCCAGGTGTTGCGTCGAGAGGTGAAAAGGTTGGAGGTGGCGGAGCTGGGAATTCGTTTGGCTTTCGATCTTCAGGGGAAGGAGCTTAAGGAGCTCAAAGAGGAGGTATTGGATTGTCATTGTGCTTTGTTGGGTGTGTAAGAAATTGGGGGAAATCAAATAAGAGATTTGGATTAGGACTTTGGTTAATTGGTCTCCTACTACTTGAAATGGTAACACATTTGGGTTGGTTTTTCGATTACTTTTTGGAATTGAAGTAAAGAAATAAATCACAAAAATTATAATATCAGTTAGAGAGTTGAATTTGAATGTTTGATGATTTGTAACTTGGCAGTATTCTGTGATTCGATAGGATAGTTCGGCTTAATGAAGGTATTTATAACAATCGAAACATAATCCATAATCGGAAGGAATATTTTAGACGATATTGTTGGAAAAGGTAGAATATAGAGAAGGTTTGATATTTTAGTTTCTGGTATTTTCGTAGAGAAAGAGGAACCTTTCATAGGAGCCGTGATTTAAATTCTTTGGTAATCGAATTGAAGGTTATGAAGGTATGGTTTATTTTCTTTGCTGATGAAAGGTCAGGGATGATAGAAATATTTGGACTCTGGATCTTCAGTGATATATTTTGTGCAGTATAGAAGCTTTGCTTCTTATTAATGTGGTTCTCATGAGGAGATATTTCTGTCAGCTTTGTCAATGTAAGGAGGTGGCACAGAAAGAAGTTGTCTTGAAAAATGAAGCCTTGAAACAACAAGCATACATGCAGCTACAGCTTACGATGAAAACTGAGGTAAACTATCAACTGTAGTTCGTAGTTAAGTATATATTTTGTAGTGATGAGTGATTAATAAGAAATAAATTTTGATGAAGTTTTGTTCAACTTTTTCATAGGCTCTTGATAAATCGACCATGGAGCGTTTGAGGTTGCAAGAAAGAAACATGGCATTGGCCAAAGAGCTTGCAGCATTCAAACTGTGAGTAAATCTTCACTATGGGCTGTAGTTTCAAGTGGTCATTACCATTTTGTTATTCAGAATGATTTGCACATGACTTACTCAACCCTACACATGCTACACCCAAGGCTGATTTAGGCAATCGAGTCTCTTAAGTACTTGTTCTCTTCTCTGTTCCTGAAATGGTTACGTGGTTTGCAATTATAGGGTATCTGATCTAGATCTGGATGAAGATGAGGTTTCAAAGCTTTCCACTCTTGGTAATGGTGCCAACACCAAAGACACGATAGATATTCTTAGAAAGTCCTTGGAGATGAGTAAAAGGTCAGCCATGCAAATGTTATCTTGAAATTTACTTTTATGGATGGAGCATTTCCTTGAGTGTTTCTGTCTCAAGTAAAATTAAACAGCGGTCACCTTGCATTTCATCCTCGTATACTTTTTTCTCTCTGATGTTTTAATTTGCATTATTTGCTGTGCATGCTTCTAATAGGAATTACAAAGAATTGATAAACAAATACAATGGTCTTGCACGAGAAGCTCGTGAGAGCAAAAAACTGGAGCAGGAGGCTAAAGAAAAGATTAAAAAAATGAAGGTAAGTTTGTGATGAGATGATCTTGATTGAATTTCAGTCCATGAGAGGAACTTGATTTAGTGATTTTTTTGGCCATTATCAGACAAGGGTACAAGAAATGGAGACGGTTGTCGAAGTAAAAGATAATGAAGTTTTGAGGGCTTTAAAAGCTTCAAAGACAACTCGGGGTGAAGGAATTATGCAGAATGGTGAAAGATGTACCACTAATTCAGTGTCTGTCAACAATTCATCAGAAGTTCAAAGAAAACATCCGTATGCACCCATTCGTAAGTTGGATAGAATTGAAAAATGGGAAAATGATTTACTGTGTCATAGGAAAACAGAAAACTCAAACTTCACTGACGATATGGATTTAAGCTGTACTAAAGATGGTACAAGCACCACTGTTCATGATAAAGTAAGAGATGCCTACTCTTTAGGAGATAAAGGTGCTTCAAAACTTTCTACAGCTAAGCGTGGACTTTCAAATCCCAAATTGAAAGAACCAACCTATGAGGATGTTGTTAACCAGAAGTGCACTCGGTTGAGGTCAGATGCAGTTTCTGATACTAGGAAAGAAACTCCTACTTGTAACAATACTGCCAGGACTCCTGCTGCCGATGTTGTGATTCTTGATGATGTTGAACAAGATCAACCCATGTTTAACATTAGAAAGGAGTCTCCTGTCCCACAACCACTTCCCGGAACAGGTATTGATGCAGTTTTTTGAGTTTACTGAGCAAGATATCATGAAATGAGTAACATTTTTCTGAAGATGTAGTAGATGAGGATTTAATTTTGTTTTTGTTATTTCTCTTCAAAATACAGGGGATGTATGTTTTTCTGGTGGCTTGCTTGGGCCTGATGGAACAAACAGGTTTTTAGGTAAATGGTGCAAGCGGGGTCTGAACAAGGGATCAGAATCAAGACAAAACCCAAGTGCGGATTCTGGTAATTTGATTGCTGTAGGAGCTGACGGAAGAGGTGGAAGAATCAAAGTTCTTAGATCACTGAATCATTCAACAGTGGTGGGTTCATGTGCTTGTTTTCATTCTATTTGTTGTCATTTTGATTTTTGGTACTCTTATCAAGTTTCCTTTCTAATTGAGTTGTTTGATCGTTTTTGCCCATGGACAAAAATTTTCACATCTCGAAATATTTGTACCTACTCAAGAGTGATTCACACGATGTTGTTAGAAATGTTAAGCATGTAGATATGTTTACTTTTTGCAGGATAATAAGGAGAATGCACCGGCGACAAAGCGCTTCAAGTCGGGGTCTAAAGCAAATAGTGTGCAGTCCCAAGGGTGCTTGCAAATAGAACACTTCTTTGGGAGGGTTGGTAGATGATCAAGCATTCAAAGGTGCGTCTACTTACGGGTTTGCAATGTTGAGATGTATGATTTTGTTGTGGAGGCTTGGAGTTAGGAGAGAAAGCGAAAATTCCTGTGAATTGTGAAGAGTAACAAATGGTTGAAGCAAATGGCATTTTCTACTTCCTGTTTATGAAGAGCCATTTTGTTGTATTGTATATAATTTATATGATTGGCTACTATTTTTGTCGCTCAAAATATTATTGGCTACTATTGAAGTTTAGAGGAAAGAAATGTCTTTGTACAAAGTTGAGAGTTCACCAAGTTACATATCATTTTTCACAAGTGAGCGGTTGATTAGTTGAATTTCAATCATTGTTTACTCTCTTCTTATGCTTAGGAGAGGAAAGCTCTATATTACTTACAAAGCGTTTGCAAGAATGAAACAAATGTGTTAGATTTTGGTATGCCATACCTAAAAAATCAATTATTGGATTAACCCGAGGTTATTTATTGCAGACTCATTTTTCGTTTAAGCTAAGTAAACATGCTATTGATGCAATGACCCATTTGGTTTGAAACAACCAATGAATGTTAAAGAGGTTTGTAGTTCAAATGATTAAGAACATTTACCTTTAAAATTTAAAACGAAAGTTTCGAGATGAATTCTTCATTCTGCATTTCATGGAACCTGAGTGGTTTATACCAATGTTTGTCATGTTGTACATTAAAAAAAATAGATTATTCAATCGGAAAAAAAAATATACCGGAATTTAAGCTAATAGAAATTTAAGTAATTTTGAAAGCCATGGGATGAAATCTAAGGGCTAAAATTAAGACAGCCATTTTGCAAAAATCTGAAATAAAGTAAAGAGTGGGGTGCATTTCTGTAGATTTTGAAAAAAATAAATAAATTAAAAATTAAAAACCATCCCGCTTAATTCGCTTAATTTTTAAAAATTCGCTCCATTTTCCCGAGAAAATATGAGAGAGGGATAAACGACGAAACCCCATTGAAAGGTTAGAGAGTAGAGAGTCGATAGAGAATGGTGCATTGCGGCCGCGGCCGCGGCGAAGGCGACGGCCTTACCAAAACCATTTGCTCACTCTGCTGCAAAGACTTCGATCCCGTTGTCGAGGACCTCCAAGTCATCTCAATCTGCGGCCATGTCTTCCACGAGCTCTGGTCTCTCTCTCTCTCCCTCTCACTCCTCTGTATATATGCAATTTCATTTTTCTGTCTCTAATTTCTATGTTTGGCTGGAACCAATTGCTTAAACGCTGCGTTTTGTGTGCAAAAACCCTAGTCTGCAAGAGTCGTTCGGATACTATGCGACCAAAAAGAGGAACAGTTGCCCGGTTTGCAAACAGAGTTGCAACCTGAACGACGTTGTCCGGGTTTATTTTCAATGGGCGGATCCGAATCTCAGTCAGAGTCAGAATCAGAGGTCGAGTGTCGGATGCGAGGAAGACTCCGAGGCGCTGCGGCAAGAGGTGAGGAGGTTGGAGGCCGTGGCGCTAGGGCTTGCTTCGGATTTGGAGCTCAAGGAGGAGGAGCTCAAATTGGTCAAAGAAGAGGTATTGTAGTTTATTCGATTCACACTATGCTCGGTTTGGTTCCTGAGAAAATATGGAACCCCCCAAAAAAAATTAGGGTTTTCTATTTGATTTGGATTTACATATTTTGGGTAGTCCTTTTTTTTATTTTATTCTTTTAGTGTTGGGAATTGGAGAAGGGAATTAAGCGAAACAAGTATAACTCGAGTGATGAATTTGGTTGAGGATATGAAGAGTTGTCGAAAACCCCAAATTGGCTTTTGTGTGGAACCTCAATCTGAATAATAAGAAAGTTTCAAACTTTAGTTTCTGGAATACTTTCTGTTTTAGCAAAACAGACACCTCTGATACGAGCGTAGACCCTTCACTGCAAAAGAAAATCAAGAGAAGGTGGTGAGGTTATGATTGATTTCTTTGCCAAGGAAAGGAAGGGATTTGGAGGAGGGGGGTAATAGAAATATCAAAATGTTGGATTGGATATACAGTGATTTGTTTCGTGCAAGATCATAAGAGCTTGCTTTGCCTTTGTGTGTTTTTTACGTTGCAAGTCTTCTTTCAGCTTTGTCAATCCAAGGTGCAGGCAAGGATAGAAGTTGCATTAAAGAATGAAGCCTTGAAACAGCGTACATCTACGCAACAGCAGCTTCAAATGAAATCTGAGGTAAACTAATAGCTGTCTTATACTTTAAAATAATGCTCATTACAAGTGCCTTCGCCCATGAGCGGTAGGTCTCGGGTTCGAGACTTGGGAGCAGCCTCTCCATAAATGGGGGTAAGGCTAACTGACATTCACCTCTCCCAGACCCTGCGTAAAGCGGGAGCCTTGTGTATTGGGTACGACCTTTTTTATTTATAAGAAAAAGAAGCTGATGAAATTTCGGTTAAATTTTCGTAGGAATTTGATAAATTGACTTTGGAGTGTTTAAGGTTGCGAGAAAGAAATAAGGCATTGGACAAAGAGCTTGCAGTGGTCAAATTGTGAGTGTTTTTGCATTATGAACAAGTAGTTTCCTAATGGTTATTACTATCTTGTTTGAGAAAGATTTGACATATGACTTCCCTCAACCCCGCACATGCTTCGCTCCTTGAGCCAATGCCCTAGGGCTAGTATAGGTTGTTACATCTCTCTGTTACATGTTTCCTTTTCTGCTCCTAACATGGTTATGTGTTGCAATCCAGGGTATCTGATCTAGATCTGGATAAAGAGGAGGTCTCAAAGCTTGCCACTTTTGGTGATGGGGCCAACAACAAAGACACAATAGATGTTTTAAGCATTTCCGTGGCAATGTCTAATAGGTCAGCCGTTTAAATCTTATTTTGAACTACAGTTAATTTAATGGATGGAGAAAACAGTTTGACATTTGCTATAGTGTTTCTATCTCAAATAACATTTAAGCATCGTCTCTTCATTTCCATTATGTATACTTTGTTATCACTCTCATGTTTTAGTATGTTTTTATTGTGACACCTACTTCTCATAGGAGTTGCAAGGAATGGATGAACAAATGTGATCTTCTTGAACGAAAAGAAGCTCGTTACAGTAAAAAACTAGAGAAGGCTAAAAGAAAGATAAATAAGTGGAAGGTGAGTTTGTAATGAGACGATCTTAAGTGAATCTCATTTGATGAGTTGTTCCTGATTTATGATTTTTTTGGTCAATATCAGACGAAGGCACAAGATTTGGAGACTGCTGTTGAAGTAAAGAGTACTGAACTTTTGAAGGCTTTAAAAGCTTTAAAGAAGCTTCAAAGAAAGCTGGAGGTGAATGGGTTATTCAGAATGGTTTAAATTTCAAGTCTAATTCACTCTCTCAACAATTCATCAAAAGATAAAAATAAAATAAAAAACATTCGGATGAATCCCCCATATACCCTAACTAGAACCGGAAGCTTGTAAAATTATCATATAGGAAAATAGAAAACTTCAATTTCACTAACCATATGACTGTAATTTGTACTAAAGATTGCACAAGTATCAGTGCTAATGGTAATGTAAGAGATGAGTATTCTTTAATAGATGACAATGCTTCAAAGTATTTCTACAACCATGCATGTACCTTCAAATCCTGATTTGAAAAACCAAACCTGTGAGGATGTTGCTAAGCATAAGTGTTCTTGGTTAATGTCAGTGGCAGCTGCTGAAACAAAGAAAGAAACTTCAGTCCATGGGCTAAGGAATCTGGCTGAGTCGCTGGGTTTATCAACTGGTACATGTAATGATCCTGCCAAGACTCCAGCTTCTGATATTGCTGAAGTTGTGATTATTGACGACGATGAACAAGTTCAACCGACGCTGAACATCAAAAGGGAATGTCGTGTTCCACAACCACTTCCCAGACCAGGTATATTATAGATGCATTTTGGGTTTAGTTGGCCAATACATCATGAAATGAGTACATTTACCTGAAGAACATTAGAAGATGAAATTTAACTTTGCTTTGATTTCCTTTTTTAAAAATGCAGGGGATGTGTGTTTTTCTAGTGGCTTGCTCGGCCCTGATGGCACAAACAGGTATTTAGGTAAATGGTGCAAGCGGAGGAATAAGAATGGATCGGCAATAACGCAAGATCCAATACCTATGAGCTGATGGAAGAGGAGGTAAAATCAAAGTTCCAAGATCTCCTAATCAATTATGATAGCGGGTTTATGTGCTGGTGTTCACTCAATTAATTTTTGCCTAAAATGCTTTTTCAGACCAATAGCATCTGTTCTTAATCAGATAACCTATTCTTTTTTGCCAGAGTTAATCAGCTTTCCTTTTACAAGCGCTAAGAATGTAGGTCTGTTTTACTTTTGCAGGATTAAAAGAACTAAATCACTTGAAAACGAAGAGGTGCAAGTACGGATCCAAAGACATAGATTGCAGGACTAAGAGGAGAACTAAATCACTTGGAAAAAGAACAGTTGCAATTTGTTTCTTGAGATGAAAATGTAGTGTCTTTGTACAAAGGTCCTCCAAGTTTGTGCATGTGGTGTATTTTGGGGCAGTTGCTACTTCAATTTTGCAGACAAACATGTCGACGAAGTTTGACGGTGAAATTCTTCCTTTTCTCTTGCTCTCTTTTGTGGTCTTAAGACTAGTTTTAAACATTAATGTAAATTCTATCTCCATGCATTAGTGAGAAATGAAGTTTCCAATACTTGTGATTGCAATTGCATACATGAATTATGGATGACAGAGGCTTGTGGCATCAGCTATTTATGTTTTTTAATTATTTTTTTGAAATTTGGCTATGAGCAATTATGCACGTCATATTTTACCGTAAAAAGTACTTGGCTCCTTACGCTTTCTTTTAGACAAATAAAAATTCGACATATGTTCTTCGAAGGTAAGTAAGATTTTTCTTTGGTTTAGGCAGGGCTGGTTGGGAATGGTTGAGAAGATGCATGAATGTCTTACAACCTTGGATTACTTTTTGTCAGGAAAACTGATACTGACATCGGATAAATTCAACAATTTTAACGTTACTTTCGTTCGGATTGAAAATTTGTAGAACAAATATTGAAATTGTTGCTGGGTCCAGGTGGGGTGAAACAAAGGGCCTAGCCCTACCGTAGTTGAATTGCTCAAAGCAAAATACAGCCCGCTGTTTCTGGAGTTTTTACTGCACATCCTAATTGTGGGCGGCTACAACAAAAGCATATAAACGGGGGGTTGTAGTTTTGCAATTTGGAAGGGATTTTTCTCTGGTTGTTTGGGAGTATCGAAGACTGGTTTTCTTTGCCGTTAGATTTTTTTTTTATAAAACGATATATTTAGATTAGGGGACGAGAGAAATTAACTAGTTTTGAACTCGTCATCTATGAGATCAAGCCTAAGACTTTTTCATTTATAAGTTAAAAAGAATATTACTACACTGTAAAATCTTTAGCTTAAAACACAAAAATCAAAACCTAACAGTTAGAAAGTCCAAAGTAGAGGATGCTCTGGAGCATTCTATACTCCAAAGCATCGTAGAGTTATTGGGTTTGGAATTGTCTCTACACATCTATTTTTACCTCCGGTATACTTTCCTTTTCTTTTCTAACAATTTGATTGAACAAATCAAAATAAAATTAAGAAGTAAACGTGTGTCCAAATGAGCAAACCACATGGTACTAAAACACAATTAATCTTCTCTTTATTCTAGTTGTTAGGCAATTAAACGAGAATATGAATGAAATTGATGGTTGAAAAACTTTAGAATCAATTTCAGTATTTAACCATTGAATGCAATAAAATATAAATTTAAGGGTGTACTGATAGGAGCATATTTATGCGACTTAGTTAGCTTGTTTCTTGGCATTTATGTTGTTAGTTCGTAGTTATTTTAGTATTTTAAGCTATTTTTGTGTGTTTGTAGGTCCAAAGGGTTAATGTGGCAAAGAAGTGCATTTTGGAGCATTTTTGGGCATGGAATGGATAACATATGCTTGGAGCAAAAGGAATGGACGAAATTTGAAGTTTGTGCATCATCATCTCCCTATAAATAACCATTTTAGCACACTCATCTCACCCAACACATCCACTCATTACAACCACCCAACACATTCACCTATCACTACATCCACTCATTTCACCCAACATATCCACTCATTACAACCACCCAACACATTTACCTACCACTACATCCACTCATTTCAACCACCCAATACATTCACCTACCACTACATCCACTCATTACCACCACCCACTACATCCTCTCCCTAGCCTATAAATATATCCATCCAAAGACACATTCAGGGGGATAGTTTAGGGAGAAAGGAGGAAGACACATTCTGCCGTAAGGCAGAGTCTTTTCTTCTTAACCATTCTACACATTCCCACAACAAAAACACAATTCCATGCACCTTCATTTCCCTTTCCTTGCCATGACTTCCATCCAACCTAAACACATTCAACCATTCCTCCATACAAACAAACCTTCAAACACTCACCAACACCTTGTGCTGTAGCAAAGGAAGGGAAGGAAAGTGCTTGGACGTGCTTGCTGTCCAACTTGGATCGTTGGAGCGTTTAGGTGTTTTCTTTCTTTTGTTTCTAATGTTTAAATTCATTTCCTTTCGTTTTGTTGTAAATATGAGTGGCTAAACCCATCTTGGCTAGGGGTGATTTCAAAGCCATGATTATGTGTGCAATATAATTTGATAAATTCCAGTTATGAATTCTTAAATCGTGAATGCAATTGGCTTAACTATTTGATTGATAACTTATTTGTATTTGTTAATTAAGGGTCGACACTTAATTGGCATGCATAAATTCGTTGCTAGAATATAAGGAAGTTTCACATAATTGTTACAAACTTATATTCACATGTAGTGAAGGTCGCTTATAAACGATCGCGTTAAATTCAATTCCTAGCATGAGTGACATGATGTCATAGTTGCAAGTGCTTTGTCAATGCTTATGATTTTCATTAAACGTAATGATCTTTGATTGTATCTCTATTATGATGTCATGTAGGGAACTTTAGAAGAATGTTTTGGGTTGTCGAATGATGTCATCCAATCCAATAAACAAGGAAAATCTGAGAGTTAACTAGTGATGTCACGGTTAATTTGGAGCATTGTCATTCATAATTCAATGAAGTAGTAACTGGAAATCGAGTTATTTGCATACATGTCATGTGTGGAGAAAAAGCCTCTAGCTATCCCATCCATCATCTTATTTCTCAAATTTGTTTTACAATCTGTCTAGTTTTTCATACTTGTTTGTTTGTTTCAACTTCATCCAAAACTCAATCCCCCTTTACTTTAGTGTGTCTAATTAGTTGGAATCTGTTTTAATTTGTGTTTTTAAATGTTTTGATTCAAGTAAAAGTCAATTTTCGTCCAAAGTCATTCCTAGTGTTTAGTTTAAGTTTATTTAGTTGTTCTAAGCTGGTTTGAGTACTTTAAGTTTGCTTTGAGTCTTGTTAAGTATTTTTAAGTTTAGTTTTATGTTTTTGAGTTAGTTTAGAAGTTAGTAGCAAGCCCTCCTAATCCCCGGTCCATAACGATCCCTACTTATACTTATACTACAATTATCAAAAGAGGGTTAAATTTGTGTGTTAAGATAATTTTCGCATAATGTACCCTAAAGGCCCAGGATAAAAAATTTGGGACATTGGACTCGAACCAAACAATGAAATGATCATTTTAACAATTTTGAGAATTCTTCGAGGCACATTAAAAATGCACATTTAAGTTTAACATCAGAATAAGAATTAAATTAAAAATTGAACGGCTTTCATTCACATGTGCACTTTGATGTTCAAGAACGGATAGAGAATCCTTATAGAAATTTTTTCTACACGTTTGTAGTAGGATTTATGACTTATTTAAGTATGCTTTGAATTCGCTTTCATGCATTTCATGGAATGGAGGGTCTGAGATTCATGAGGTGTGGGAAGTTGTGGAATTTATTGTAGTCATGCATAAAGTGAATACAGAAAATTCTGTCGAGTTTTCGATAGAATTAACTTGTTATATACATCATGCATAAAATGTCTTTGTTACTTTCCTTGTATAAGGATTTGTTTGAAAGTACTTTTAAAATGATTGAAAGTGCTTTTTGTAAAATTGATTTTGGGTTCCAAATGCACTTTAAGTGCTTTTTGGAAGAAGCACTAAATCTTCCAGGAAGCACATAAAGTGATTTTTCAAGATCCACTTGGATTTTTACTAAGGATTGGTTCAAAAATATTTTAACTAAAAATATCTTCAGTCATTTTAAAGCACTTTCAAACGAGCCATAAGTCAGCATGTCACTATCCCGATGTCCACTAGACATTGAGGATCCCCATCCCTATTTTTTAGAGGAATGAAATTTTCATTCCCACTCCTGTGTTGGAATTTTGAACCAAACAATGGAATGCATATTCTTAAAATATAGCTCCATTCCATTAATCATGCCAACTAAGCGTCACAATATGTTAATTACTTGTTTGTATATGAATCAAAATGACTTTTTTTTTAAATATATTTATTTAATGCATTACAAATTGTGTTTTTCCTTAACATATCTTTTATTTTTCACAACTAAGATTCTACAATTTGATCATGTTTCTGAAGTTTAGGAACTGTTGATGCTTTTGGTATTAGGGAGTGCTAGCAGCCTTCTCAAATTCATAGTAGAGATTTACAATCAAATCCATATAACAGAAATTAACTTAATTAAGGCAACGTGGAAGGCAATTTTGAGTTTTATACTGTAAAATGATGACTTTTGAATTTCAGGAAGGCAAAATGGAATAAAAATCGAGTTTCAGAAGGCAAAGTGAAGCGAATTTTAAGTTTCAGAGAGTAAAGTAGCAAACTTTTAGTTACATGGGGGCAAAATGAGACTAAAACTGAGTTTCATGAGACTTAGCTATAAATAACCTCAACATTATCACTCATCCTCATGCTACACGTATTCCATTAGCACGTAACACTAAAAATATATTTTTTTTTTGCTGACAAACAAAATTTTTAATTGTACTAACAAAGAAATAAAACTAGGAAATTTTTAATACATAGTTCTGAGTATTAATAGAGTATACATGACATCAGAAGAAGTAAAAAAGTTGTTAACATTTCTCTTGGTATTAGTTTTAGCTATGGAATTGACTTTTTTGTTTTTTATTTTTTTAATAACACTGGCCAATTGATAAGACCTCTTCTTCCTCCAGTCAATGGTTAAGCTTCCTTCGCAAGAAACTTTAAATTTCCCTCTCAAATGCACGTGTCAAGAATGTAAGCTTAAAGACTTTTGAATTAAGAATAATTTGTAATATTGATAGCAACAAAACAACAATAAAAGGTAATGGAAGACAGCCAGACATGCGGGTCCAATTGAACACCCACATTAAGATTGCAAATCCTTTCCTAGGCAGACCAATATTTAAGCCAAGTCCAAAAGCCACCGTAAGAAATTATACTTGTCTCTTTGACTATTTAGGGTTTCCAAAAACCCTAGATACATCTTTCTTTTAGGTTTACAGAAACATGAACAAAAAGAAAAACAATTCGAATTGTTTGGTAATCTGTTTACAAATCTAGATTATGTTCTTAAATATATAGTCAAGTAAATCCATCCTAAAAAGAAAACCAAGTGATCTCCTATGATTACAGAATCCTTAAAAAAAATCTTTTGCTGCATTTTTAAGAATTGACACGAATTCTCTAAATTCCCAACTAGCTAGTAATTAATCTACCTTTACACTCAAAGTCATGT